ATTGGGCCTCCAGCTTCTGAGACCCACCTCCAAAATCAACCATCTCCCTAGACCAGCAGAAGGCCCTCTTCTTGGCTCGAGACCACTTGGCCCGCTAAGGAAAGACAAACAAACAGACGTGGGAACAGGCACAACAGGCTTGTTTAGAGGTGGGTGGAGACAGAACTGAAGGCAATCTCCATTGTCCTTATAAACAGACCTGTCTCACAATGTGAGAGAAAGAATTGACTATCCTAAAGCACGTTTGACCTGGGCTGCATCAACACACACATATTTCCGCTGCTTGGGGGCGTTTTGTTGAGCTAGTGATTAATAGCGACTAATTGGGCTGATTCACTTTTTAGTTCATCTAAATATAGACTGGGTACACAGCACTTTTACTAATTTGCTTATTTACTGGTCTGAAAGAGTTTTGTTTCTTGAAGTGGGGAGCATAGAGGAATTCTTTTACTGAGTAATTTTTTTTCTCTCTTTTGCTGTTGCGTTTTGCTTACTGATTTTTTTTCTTTCTGCTGTGTGAGGGCCCAGAGAGATCTGTTATCTGCAAATGTAAGTTGAATGAAATGTGTCCTGCCTTCTACCTGATGCTTTAATTGAGTCACTAATAAATTTCAGGTGGTGGAAAATGTGTGATTACTATCTATTTCACAACCTATCCAATTGTCCACCACAAAGCACTGGGAGGGTCTAAAATTTTTAAACTTATTTATGTGAACTTGTTTTTCACTCTTGTAAGTAGTATAAACTACTAAATGTATCTTGTAGTTTTTCATCTTTTGCAACAAAAGAAATTCTTATACAAATTTTCCAAATCTTAAGAATGATAACTGTGTTGCTAGTAGAAAAATCGTATTTATTTTAAGCTCTCTTGGTGATACATAATAAACTTGTTTGCTGGAGTTGTCGATTTGTTTCTCTCCCCTCATTTTCACTGTGCAGTGATTGGACCTGGAGATCTAGTCATTTAGACACAGCCCCTCTCCACTGCCTCAAAGTCCCCGTCTCTCCTTTGTGGTTCCAGTTGGGGACGTGTCAAGGGGGAGTGGGCAGGAGGGTTAGTTACTCTTTGAAGTTTCACTAGCGGGCCAGAAACTTAAACTCACACCAGAGGACACATTCAGCCTGACCCAGAACTCTCAACTCTTTCATCCTCTGCTTCGCCATTCTCATTTGTCTTTGTATGTGGGGGCCAAAAGTAGAGGCTGTAACTGCAGCTGATATGAGTGCCAGGCAGCAGATCAAAGAGTGTGCCAAATCTTTTCTGAATACCAACTGTGGGATGGCCCCAGGCAGCCTTTTGATCTTTGTCTCAGCCCCTGTGGTGCCATTGGCTGGCACCGGAGGGGAGGGGAGATGCCCCTGTGTCCTCCTAAAGCACTATCAGCCTGGGCTCCAGGGCTCTGCATATCATGGTACCAGCCCCAGACGTAGCTTCCTTCTCCTTCCCCTGAACAATTGCCTTTCTGCGGCTTTCTTCTGTGGGGATGAGTTGGGGTAGACCGTGATAGCCAAGGGTTTGGGCCAGCTTCCACTTTTACTGCTGACCTAGGCAGGTGGTACACAGCAGGAATGTACTAAATTCCTCGTTACTGAGTTGAGGTTAGAGAACCAAGGGCTGGGAAAGATGGGAGCCATGTTGACTGAACTTTTGCCATTCTACGACAAAACCACGCCCTGAAATGATAGCTCCATTGCCCCGACTCTATTCTATTCTATTCCGCCCCTGTGGCTTGTTAAGAATGCAGCAACATCCTTCTTTAATAAATGTTGGCATACAAGCTTCTAAGGCATGAAAGGAAGGGGAGTTACTTACGAAGATAGTTGGGTCTAGGGTCACACTAAATAGTGAGTATAATTTCAAGTTGTGACGATGTAATTCAAACTGCATACTATTGACTGATTATGAAAAACAAAATATCTTAGCTTGAAGCGTAGGCAAGGTAGGATGTGGGGTTAGAACAAGGAGAGAGGCTGCCAGACATCCACCCTAATGCTTAGCTCCAACTTTCCAGTACAGAGGGGTTGTGCAACATTTTTCCAACATGCAGTTAATAACTTTCTTCCCCACTTTATAATTCAGCTCTGACCACCCCTCATTCGGAGTTTGTGCCTTGAGGCTTGCCAGCAGGGCTTGCAATACTTACATTAAACTAAATTTAAGAATGAAGGTGTTCCTGCTGCTCATGTTCTCAGATCAGAGGAGAGCAAAATGAAGGAACTGGCAGCTGAAACTTTAATGCTAGGAAACGTTGACTTAGAATTTGAAAAAAAAATTGCAGTTGATCTTCGTGACAAAGAAGACATTCTTTTCCATGTGTGCCTATATTTCCTGGCAAAATTTAGCTAACTCCCTTGGATTTGTATTATACACTGGAAGACCCACTTTGAGGGGTGTCAAGGTTTTGTGCACCTTGATAAGGTATGGAGCTTCTGGAGGCTGCACTATCTGCCTGCACATACCTGAGTCTTCCCAGCATCTGAGAAGCCCCTCAGTGAACCATGCAGACTTCCTGGCTCCAGTGTCATCCGATGGTGCTCTGGAGAGCAGATCATGGCATCAGGATGTATTCACTCATATCATGTGGCATGTGCTGAACAGAGGGAGTGATAGTTGTCAATCCCATTTGGGATAGATGGATAAGGACTTAGAACTGAGTTAAGTCATTATATCATGAGGTTATCCCGTGTAATAACAACTACTTCTGTTGCTTATTCTGCAGAAAAAGACAATACTTTGTGTTTAGGCAATGTACTGCATATTATGCAAAGGCAATAAATGCATAGAAAAAGTTGCCTAATGTATGATTCACGCAATTAATCAAGTCTGCATAAACAGGGTAATGGGATTCTAGAGTATCAAAAGTAAAACACTAATCTGTATTTAAATTATCTCTTTTATTATGAGAAATATTTTAGTCTAATGTGATAATCTTTTTTTAGTTACATGAGACCAACCCTGCCAATACTGAGTTTCACAAAATTCCCTCAAATTTTAGTGTTTCCATACCCCAGTCCTGTAGTGTCATGATATTGTTGTAATGTACTGTGTGGATGGCTGTGTCTCGGGTCTGATTACACCTGTCAGCTCTATTCCTACCTACCTATCCTGCCAGATTCACAGAAACTTCAGTGGCAGCCTTTCTCTATCCCAGCACTCCTGTCCCTATGGCCACAGGAGAAGCCAGAGTGAATTTTTCAAAGTGAAGCTGAGATTATGTCACCCCCAAAGGAAGCAGTGTGGAGCCTGGTATCTGGAGCATCTATAGTAGAAAGAGTCATCAAACCAATTCTCATGCCAAACAAGAAACATGACAGTTTCTACAGCAACTTCAAGCCTCTGCCTCCCTAAATTTTAACTTCATTGACTTCTCCTATTTGTTCTTCACTATTGCTTAGCATTTGTGTTGTATTTTTCCCGTGAAGCCTTTTTGTCACCATGTTGTGCTTATGTAACTGATATCTGCTTTTCTCTCTATCCACTTCCATAATGGAAATTCCATGAAGCCAGAGATCTCTGTCTTTTTGCTGGATGTTGTTTCTTCAGCACCATGAATAGTATCTGTCACAAAGTAGTGGCTCTGAATAATCTGGTGAACATTCAAGGCCTAACTTGGTAGTTTTAGGACAGATCACTCAGGACCCACCATGTTTTCTTTGGAGACAAAGTTTCAGTAACTTGATTGACTTTCCTTTATCAATTCTCACATTGAACAATGCATTTCAGAAAAGGGCTGTGGCATCATTTCTCCTAACCCCAGCCTCCTCTTCAAGTATTACTGGCAGTCTCCCTCAGATGGATGGATACATGACCTGTCTCTGCACAGGCTTGTCACTACTGGAAGTGATGCTGAGAGGACCATGGGCCTCTCCTAAGAGGGACTTGGCTTCTTCATTTCATTGGGGTACTTGCCTTTGGAGCCCTGTGTTGTCCTAAGAAACCCTGAGGCTGGGGCTGGAAAGACGGCTCAATGGTTAGGAGGACATACTGCTTTTCCTGAGGACTTGAGTTCAGTTCCCAGCACCCACATCAGGTGGCTTACAACTGCCTGTAACCCTAGCTCCAGAGGGATCTCACACCTCTGACCTCTGTAGGCAGTTGCATCTGTGTACATATCCTCCCCATGCACACACAGACATAATTAAAATAATAAAAATTTAAAAAATAAAGAAATCCTGAGACTCCTGTGCAACGAGAAAAGCCAAGGTATATGATCACACTATATATATATATATATATATATATATATATATATATATATACATACATATATATATATATATATATGCTTTGGAAGACAGCTGTTTGGGATCCCAACTGGTCCAGATAAATGAGTGTAGATAAGCCTCTTGAATATACAAAAGAGGTCCCAGTGATTTAGGGTCAGAGAAAAACTACCTTTTTACACGCTATCCACATCCTTGACACATTTAAGAGGTGAGAGGGAAAGTGGTTCTAAACCACTTTCAAAACCAATACGTTTTGAAATGATTTTCTATATTATATGTTTCAGCTCTCTGCCTCCTTCCTGAGAACTACTCTTAGCATCCATCACTTTAGAGGAGCATTTATTTGTGAGAACTGAGGTTTCTAGAAAATAGCAAAGTCTGACCCATTCTCAACTGCAGGCTGTAACAGGAAGGGAAGCAGGAATCCTGGAACCCACAGCTGTCCATAGGCTTTGTTCTTGCACTGCAACCATGCCCCACAACAGAACTAGTACCAAAGCTGAACCACCAATACATTTGTGGATTTTCTCTTAAACCACTTTGGGGTAGAGATATAGGCAATTGTCCAAAGACAGACAGTAGGAAAGAACTGAGAGGTGCAGCCTGCAGAACCAACTTTCTCAGTAGCTTTCCTGCCTAACAAAGCAATAGCTCGATATACAGAGGCAGTCTCTCCTCAGACAACACATAATACATTGCCAATGATGTCTTGTCTTCATGGATTCTTTGAAGATTCGTCCTTTTAAAACAGCCCTTTCTGCTTACATTTTGCAGTTCTCAATGACAACCTTTCCTCCAGTTCCTGTGACTCGTACAAGACTTGCGGTCTTAGCCAGGGAGAAACTGCCATGCTCTCCAGGAACAGTTCCAAGGTATGTGTCCCTGCTTCTGCTTTCTCATCCTACAGAGCACACTTCCTGCAGTCCTGGATGTCAGTAACACATCTCAAAAATTTCAATTGTGTAAGGAAAAGAGATACTACATTGTTACAGTCAAGTGTTCAAATTCACTGTTTTGAAAGGCTAATGAACCTCACTTCAGTACAACCAGTATTTACCAAGCTAGGGGTCATTTAATCATTTTATTTCCTGTGAGATTATTTTATATTTTCTACAGAGTTTTGAGATGTTTTCTTTTTAAAACACGCACAGAGAGAATAAAGAGAAGCTTTAAGATGGAAACACGACTTTTAGCTCACAATGTCCTAATAGGATGCATGCTTCCTAGTAGAGTAGATTGGCAGACAAGATTGAGCTCATGAAATGACAATGAAATCTGAAAATGCATCCCCATACTGCTGCTGCTGGGAATGGCTACCAAGTTCTTGGAGTTGTCACAAAATGCAGAAGAAGAAAATGATACATTTATCATTTTTATGAATATTAACATTACTGAGATACATTGAAGTTGCCATTTGTCAGTGTATTGATTTTTAGAAAATACACATATTACTTACAACTGGAAATACTTTGCATATGTACCTTTGGCTATTTTCTTTTTGTGCATTCTGCATTGTGCTTCAATTCCTGAAAAGTATAACAATTAAATTTTTAAAAGATTTCTTTCTTTTCATATCTCATTTTCAGTATTTCTTAGAAAGACCAATGCCCCTGGACCAAAACAAATTCATAACCAAACCAACATAAACATAACAAACCAAACAACATAAAATTGCAAATCAAATGGGTTTTAGGAAGCTAAGAAATCTTTCAATAGAGCATGCACAAATGTATGTGTGTGTTCTTTAATTTTTGAAATATTTACCAAATCAAAAAGCTTGTCTGGCTTTTTTCAGTAATTAAGATTACATTTATTTTCAAAGTGAGCAGTAAACACAACTGATTGTCACCTAAAATCAGATGGATTCTTTTTAAAAAGAATCCTACTAAAGAAAAAAGTTTTATTATTACTACTTAGGGAAAAGTTTTTTCAAACATTCTTTAATAAGAATTCTGTAAGTAAAACATGACTATGTGGGAATATTTAATACCATACACACACAAGGTTCTGTGAACTTAACGTGTAGTTGTTTTTACAATGTAGAGTGTGTTAATGAACACATTTGATAATAAAGTCTCTTAAATATTTTTCATCTTGAATCTAAATAATTTGAGGTTTGTGTGTGATATAAGAAAAGCAAGCAAACAAACAAACAAAACAAGCAAGTTCTTAAGCACGATGGCACACGTTTGCAATTGCTCAGTGCTGGTGTGGAGGCTGCCGGTTGCCACGGACTGGGTGCCGAGTTAGAGTTGTCTGAAAAACAAAAACAAACCAAAAAGAACAAGTGGAACAAACAGACCTTTAAAACAGCATTCCAGGGGAAACTTAGCTAATGTCTGGAACACACATTTGTATCAAACAGTAGTTCTTGACTCCAGGTCCTAATCCAAAGAAAATAGCGAGAGAGTTGTGCTGCAAAACCCACGAGTGCAAGCTTTGAGAGAAACTGCCCCTACTCGGGCGTGTGACCTGTGGCACTACATTGACATGTCTTCTTTTATCCACTAGATCTGCTCTTCCCTATCTTTTCCCTTTCAAGTTTTTGGAAATGAACCAAACAATACAAAGTTGCAGCTATGGCGGGACATTAACCACTGACACCCATGTCCACCAAACGCAACTTCTCTCCTGGTAGCGTTTTGTGTGTTTGGGAGCTTTTCGTTTTGGTCAGGCGGCACTTCATTATTTTTTTCCCATTTCATTTAGGGCCCAGTTGATCAAAGAGAAAGATGACATAGACCATTACCTGGAGAAGAACTTCAAAGGACTGTCGAAGGAGGAGGTTGCTGCGTAAGTTTGGCCTCTTAACGGCGCTTTAATACGAAGTTTGTTTCTTTTGTCTGGATTCTTTCTTGGAATTTCAATTTTCCTGTGCAGTAAACTTTTTTCCACTGGAACATGGCATTTAAAAATTAAAACTGATATTAAATAGTGATAAGTCACGTCTATTGATCTTACACACATCAAAGTCTTTAAATTTTTGGCTCTCCAAATTCTTATATTTAGCAAGATATTATACTAGCACATTTGCAATATTGAGTTAAGTCTGAGCCATTAATTGCTTATTAATCTCCATTTTAGGGTATGTTGCCTCTGTAGGGAAGAAAAGTGTTTTCAAAGAAAGATGCATACTTTTTATTGGTGATTTAAAAAATGAAAAATGACTCTTAGTGGTATACATTGCTCCCTTTGTCCAAGAACCCTCAAAAGTGTCAATAAATAACAGTTTATTGTTAAATGTAAAATCATTTCCAAGTTGTCTGGATTTCTTTTAATGAACAGTATAAACACTGCTATTTTATCACTAACCATAATCTATTCTATTGGATGAATAGCAGTATGAAAAAAAAGTTCATGTATGTCAGAGGGACAGATGGAGAGACCTTAAAGGACAGGTGGGACACCTTATAGTTGCTCACATCCAGCTTTAGTCTTTAGGCACAAGTACTGAATATTGGCATAACTGAAGGGTTGCATGCATCACACTGGATTCACCAGGTTTCTGCTGGGATGGTTAATGCAAATGTATTTGAAAGGTTCTGCCAGCATATTGCTTAATGCTAATTCAATCAAGAAATATTCCCATTAATATTTTATCATAGATTGCATATAGTGTAAATTTTTATCTCTATTATTATGTTTGATTTATCTCTGTCAATGTGAGTTTTGCATAGACAAACAGAATAGCTCATCTTGTCAATAGTTCCAGCATAGGATGATAAAATATTATAACAACCAGACCGGAGGAATGGCCCAGTTGACAGACTGCTTGCCAAGCATGCATGCACAAAGCTCTGGGTTTGATCCCCAGCCAACATAATCCAGACATGATGGGAGGCCAAGGCAGGAGGATCAGGAGTTCAAGTTCATTCTTTATCACATAGAGAATTGGAAGATTACCTGGGCCTCTTTGAGACTCTGTCTAAAAATAACCTTTAAATTATAGAATTAATATTACTTATTTCCACAAAGCTGTGGGATTTTTGATTAAATGTTATTTGGATTGAAAACTCATTAGCTTGCCATGGTAGCCTGTTGAATAAAAATAAAGATCATTATTGTATGGTAGTGTGATTACTAACTATAAGAAATATATATATATATATATATATATGTATGTATATGTATATACATATACATATGCATGCATTTATGTATGTATGTATATACATATATATACATGCATATATATATATAGTACTTGCAAGCTGACTTAAATATAACTGTCCAAATAGCTTAGTTGTGCTTAAGTGTTAAGAATTAAGATTAAATATATGCTTTGTAAAAGTCATCAAACTAGAAATATGCACAAAAGCACTAAGTACAGACTATTTAATCCAGAGAGTACAAAATAGATTATTTATGACTCCTCTAATTATAGTAACAATATCATTTGTTCACTAAGTACATCACCAAATTGATTTCAAATTCATCACTAGGTTACAGAAAACAGTAGCCCTGAGTAATACCACGTTTTTCATATTGCATTCTCCTAACAGCAGACTGTGAATGTGACTCAAGACTCTAATCATGACTGCACAGGAGCCATTTCTGGGAGACACTGAATGCAGGCCACTAGTATGGAGAGAGCTTGCACACAACTTACTATTATGCTCTTGATTGATACTCAGTCTAGATTGCACCCTAGACAAACTAATTGAATAACACATAAAGGAGAAAATTGATGAATGGCTTCAACATCTCCCAGAAATGCCCAGCAGGTGCCAAGAAGAATTGTGCATATTCTATTAGCTGAGGAATTGCTGCATAAAACGTTTTATTAGACATTCAACTCTAAAAAAGATAAATTGGTCAACAAGCAGGTACTAACTACTTACCTCATATCTAATATGAGATTTTTTTACATTGGGAGAGACAGTGATATTTTACTATGAGATGGTTGACCCTACCCAAAAGTCTTAGCATGTATTTGATAAATATTAAGACCTATGTATAACATAGAGATAAGGGATGGATGAGTGCTAACACTATGAATTGCAGCCTGGAGACCAAGGGTAAAGCAGAAAAGACAGAGATGACTGGATGAAACTTGTCAGGGAATATACATAATGGCTTAGCACAGGAGAGTGATGGACCAATACATCACCAATAACCAGTATGCAGGGTTTAATGTACAGTGATGCAAAAATCTGTTTTCAAGAAGGTAGAGCACCATGTAAGATTTACCTCAAATCCTCCCCTCCACTGCCTTATTCTTCATCGGGATGCTAAAATATCTGTACGCGCCCACTAAGACACTTGATGCACACTAGCTTTAGCATCTCCTAATACACTATGGTTTTGTTTTGTCTCCAAATAACCTCTTATCACATGCTTCCAAATATAGCAGCCTACATGCATCTAAGTGCATACACTGTGGCTCTCTTGGTTGTAGTGGGTGGGGAGGTCCCACTCGTGTTCTAAGTACTTCTTGATCCTTCCATTTCGCTCCCTCCCACCTCCCTCTTTCAATATACACCAGCAAGTTCTCCCTTTGCATTGAATCATAAGCACAAGTGTTCCAACCTCCATTAGTATTTCTGGTCTTCATATCCCTGCAAGTGTTTTCTCACAACCCCGCCCTGCCTTTTGCAGCAAGCAAAAGCATCATGTTAATATTTTCTAATGCATGTGCAGAGGCTATGCTTGTCAGCGTCTCTCCTTCTCCGTTAGCATGCTTCTCTGCCATATCTGACAGTTTTCCTTCCATCCTCATCTTGAGAGCCACCTTCCCTGCATTCAACAGAGTGTACCACTCTTGTTTAGCTATTGTGGTTTCTGGCAAGTCTTGCTGGATGATTTTTCTCCAACTACATCACCTGAGCCTCCTCTAATGGCTGCATCTCTGTTTTCAAATTCTCAGTGGAAAGAAAGCTTTCTTTCCCACATTCCACTCCAGGTCTCCCTATTGTCATTTCCAAAGGCAGCCTTTACCTTTACTATGCTCCATGTTCTCCATTAATATGCCCTCATCAGATGCAAGATAGAAATATATTCTGGGCTCCAGTACTTCTCCACATTGCTTCAATACCCCTGTCTTGCCAAGGTCTCCAACACAATCTTCTAGTTGCTCTTCCTACTCTGGAATATTCTTGGATATTCTGTCTCTATCAGTTCTGTGAAACTTAAAGAAAACATTGATCAAGGCACTCCTTCCTCTAGAACATTCTAAACAGCATCCCATTGCTCCTGAGTGGGATTTAAATTCAGCAGGCCTGAAGCTGTGTGTGACTGTGACTCTGCTGGCCTCTCTGACCATCAGGCCCTGCTTTGGCCCCATCTGTTCTTCCAGTGTGCCACAACTGCTGACACTCCTTCTCCTCCTGTGGTATGTCACTTTGAATGTGCCCTTAGGAGCTCTTTCCCATTTCCTCATACAGTTTAAATGAGTACTTGAGCAAAACTTGGAAAAGTCATTACTAGAGAAACCCAATAGTGGGTCAAATGCCACTTGTTTTGCTTTGGAATGGGTAGAATTGTTCAAAAGCAGGAGTTCAGGCTTTATCCAATCTATATGTACAGAAGGAATTTCAGCATGCCTGTTTTACCTTTATTATATTTATTCTTTGATAATACCATACATGTATAATGTGCATTATTATAGCCCCTCTCTATTCTCCAGCCACCATTTTTACCCCCCTCCCTCCTTCCTAAAAGTCCCCTTGTTATTCTCATGACTTTTTTGTTGCTGTTGGTGGTGGTGGGTTTTTTGTTTTGTTTTGGTTTAGTTTTTTTTGTTTGTTTGTTTTTGTCTTTGTTTTTTTGTTTTTTTTTTGTTTGTTTGTTTTTTGGAGTTACTGAGTTTACTTAAGACAGTGTGTGAACGTGACTCTGGAAGTATAGCTGGAGCATGGATGTTTCTCAGTGGGCACATAATGATGCCCCTTCCCCAAGAATTCACAATGACCAGTTCAAGGGGAAAGGATAGAGTCCTTTAAACTCTTCCATGAGTGACTATTGAGGGCTCAGTATTGTGTTGGCCCATTGCAAGTAACCATAGTTGCTATGAGGTCTTGACTTCATTGACTAACTTTGCTATGCCCAGAAGACAAAATGTCATGGCCCCTCTTATGTTCTGGTTCTTATATTCATTCTGCCATGTCATGTTCCCTAAGCCTCGATGGAGTATAAGTGTCTTCTTTAGTGTTCATAATTCAACTATTACTTATCCACAGCAACTTGAGCAGCCATGTACCTCTGCATTCACCATTGTTCATTGCAAAGAAGCTTTTTCTGGTTGAAGTAGCATTTGTCTATGAGGATAAATGTAATTTTTTAGAAGGTAATTTGGGATCATGACAATCTGGATAATCAACAGTATTAAACTTATCCTGAGGGCCTAAGGCATTCTCAGCCCATGGGTTTTTAATTAGGTTTGCAGTACCAGGAGTAAATTCCCTCTTGTGGAGCACACCCCACCACACTCATTTTCCTTGATGGATTGATGTTGTAAATGACAGCATTCCCAGCTGGTAAAGAGCATTGATGGCCCTCTTCCCCAGAAGCCTGTGCAGCACGTTCCAGCGTTATAACGGTAGGGAGGAAGCTTCCAGATGAGTTCCTGCTGGGTTTCTTTACCCCTTGCATGCAAGGTATGTGGTATCTTCAGTGTCAGGGTCCTAGTTCTTAAGACAGAGCCTTTCACAGTCCTGCTGTCCTGGAGCTCACTCTGGCCTTGAGCTCTTGACTGGTATGTCTCTTTATTCAAGGTATACACCACCTTTACCAGCTTTATTTTTTTAGTAATATGTGTGTATGTGTGTGTGAGTATACAGATGAGCATGTGTTTG